GTCTGTAAAATCCAGAATAAAGCGAGAGTCGCCATCTCATGTCTGGTCTTGGGTTAGTAATCCTGAGTGAGGAAGTCCGGGTTCGAGTCCTGGCACCTAGGTGAAAATCCAGGTAACCAGCCCTGGCCCTAGTGTCTGAGTGTCTCGGCCCTAGGAAGGAAGCCTGCCATCAAATCTGGTGCCTGAGGAGGAAAAAATCGAGCTCGTTACTCTGAGGCAGTCCGAGTGAATGCCATTTGGGAGAATCACGAGAAGTCGTGGGGATCCTGAAAGTGAGAGTGGTGAGTGCAGCACACGTCTGAGTGAAACGAGGACCGGTCCGCACGTGTGTGATTCAATGTGGTACGCGTGCTTGATGGTTGTGCTAATTGTCTTACTGGGGGGGTCTGGTTTTGTATTTTTCTCTACGCTTCCTATTTTAAACCTTCCCTTCCTCCTTTTCTTTCCTTTTATTCTCGGTCTAAGTCTTCTCATGGGACCATTAAAGGCGAAAGAGCAATTGAGGTTTTCTGATCAGGGCTACTCCCTGATGACAGCCAAAGGCTCTTAGCCCTCTTGGCGGACCCCGACTGCCCGCACGGTTGGAGACAAGACCCCTTATCGGTATCTCCCTCTCCTCTTCATCCCTCTCTCCAGCCACTGAGAAAGCCCCGCGGGCACGGGTCGAGCAAATAAGAGCCACTAGGGCACTCACTGCTGAAAGACTCCTGTGAAAGGATAAGGGGGTCCCAGGCATGAATCCTAGATAAATTCACGTCCCCCGCAGAAGAAAAACTGGGCAACAACAGGCACCCATCCACAAGCACACCCGCTGGCCATCATTGTTTAGAGTGGCATCTTCACTTCTCCCTTTTCATCTCCCTCTCTCTCTCTCTTCTGTGATCTCCACCATGGGCCAGACTCAGGCCACTCCTAAAGGTTTAATCCTCTCTCACTTCTTGAAGGTGAAGGAACAGGCTTTGAAATTGGGCACCGGCATCAGGAAGGGTAAGTTTGGCACTTTCTGCTTGACTGAATGGCCCACCTTTGGAGTAGGTTGGCCCAATGCTTGCCCAACAAAAATGTCTCCATCATGGTCACCCAGGAAGGTTTGAAGTCCTCCAGTCGCAGAGGCGGGGATCCTAGTGCTCTGCCAGCTCTCCCCGAGAGCTCCTCCCTCTACCCCCCTTTGCCCATTGAATAGCCACCACCTTATGCAGCTCCACGAGGAGGAGAAGCCAAGGCGGCCTATGGAGGGGGGTTGGAGCCTAGGGTCCCCATGGGAATCCAGTAGT